CTGGGGAATTCTGGGAGTTGAAGTCCACACATCTTCAAGCGGCCAAGGTTGAGGAACCCTGATCTAAAGTGATAAAAGCATCAAGTTCTGTTGCATAGCTCTGGGTGGGAGTGGTGTAAGGTAGGGTGGGAGTTTCTGCCTTTTCCACACTAAGCGCACACTTGACGTGGGAGTGCCAGATAAGGGGGTATGGTCCAGAATTGTAGCAGCTGGGGCCAGGATAAAAACTACATGGATTTTTCATTTCATTGACACGTACATGTAATCAAAATCAAGCATAGTCTAGCTAACGTGATTCCCCTGCACTCTCGTATTTCATAATTTGGTGGGAACGCTTGGGGACTGCATTCAGAACCGGCATTCCCAGCCTATCCGTGAGGGAAACCATCTTTCACGGCTTCCAGGGCCCAAGATTTTTGCTCCTCTTGTCGGACGCAACTTTGCTGATGTGAATTTCCAAAGTCCTGCGTCTGAGCGCTTGCTCGCTGCTCGATTCTTAGGAACTGGCTAAAGGTGGGTCGGGGGAAAGGCACTCTGCCTGTGTTCAGAAGCAGCCTCTCCTTGGCTCAACCCAGGTGGATTGCCATTTGGAAGAGCTGCCAACCCTGGCTGAAAAGAAGACAACTTCTCCTTTGGCCCTTGGTCCAGCGTGGGAAGGGGAAGGAGCAATGGCCCAGCTCCCCGCTAGGAGAATGCAACCCTTAGTTGATCTCAAGCATTTCTGGATCTCCTTAGGCGGTTGAGGCAGGACTAGGGTGGTGCATAAGCCCGGGGAGATGCCACCTCCACCTTCAGCCAAAATCTTGCACATCTTCCTTTCTTCTTGTCCCGATCCAGGCGCATCTTCCTGCGCAACCTGACTTCTTCGTCGATGCACCTGTCTTTATATAAATAAAAAGCACGCCACCACCCTCCAAAGGCTGCGTGCCAGCAATGAAGTGGGTGGCCAAGCTCATGTCCAGCCTGGCAGGTCTCGAGCCACGGTCCCGTTCAGGTTTTGGAATTCTGCAACTCCATGAAAGGGCTTCCCTAAAGCAATGCCCTTCCAAGAGAAAGCTGGTGATTGTAGCACTTGGAAGTTTGCACCCAGAGGCAAATTAACACATCATGCAGCACATCTTCTCCATACCCACTTTTATTTTAACTCGGTTCCCTCATTAGCTCCATCTGTTTTGTGCAGGTTTTCACAAAACTTGTGAGTTCAGGCCATGCAACTCTAAAATGGGGAATGGGGAGGTGAAAGCAACTGAGGATCTTTTTGGTGTGTTAGTTTAAGCCGACAGCCATCTTAAAAGCAGCGGCAAAGAACCTGTGTACTGTCTACGGCCACACTACCCTGAAAGCGCCCGATCTCGTCCGATCTCGGAAGCTAAGCAGGGTCAGGCCTGGTTAGTACTTGGATGGGAGACCGCCTGGGAATACCGGGTGCTGTAGGCTTTTGCCTTTATATAACTAGCTAAGGCTGATTCATGTTTTCTTTTCTCTGTATGTCAGAATGTGTTTGGGCCTTACCGTGTAGGTGCTTTGCTTTGGTGGTTCAGTG